AGGTGTGAGCGTATGTGTGTGTTTTGGAGTTTTGGAGATGGTGAAGGAGAAGAGGCAGCCATGGTTGGGAGCTTGGAAGCTTGGAGAAGATGGAGAGAAAGAGAGGGGGGCAGATGGGTTTAGTTTTAGGGTTAGGAAAAAATGAAATGAAGATAAGAGGGGTTAGTTCATTTGGGGTTATGGGGCAGACCGGGTTGACCCAGTTGGAAATGGACCGGGTCGTAGGGGAAGGTTGGGTATCTTTGGCTTGTGGTTTAAAATTGAAGAAGAGGCCCAATCCGATTTTCGTCTATTTTTTGTTCTCTTTTCTTTCACTTATTGATAAAACTAAAATGTATGAAATTAAATTATAAAAACCAAAATTATCTTAAAATACTAATTAACTTCTAATAATAATTATCACCCGAAATTAAACATCAATAAAATAAAATCACACAATTTGGACATTAAATGCTAAAAATGCAAAAGATGCCTATTTGGTAATTTTTCATTTTGTAAAGCAAACTTAATTACTCCTAATTATAGAATTACATATTAAATGCAAATGTGACATATTTTTTATATTTTTATTAATTTACAAATAAACATGCACAGACAAAAATATAAATAATTATCCAAAAGTGCCACGAAAATTCAAACATTGCACACAAAGGAAAATTATTTTTATTTTAAATTTTTGGGAGTAATTCTCATATAGGACAAAAATCACATGCTCATATAACCAACTCTATATTCACATAGCCACATGCTGCAGCAAATAGCCTAAAAGTAATGGTTGTAAAATAAAAAAGTAGACTAATCATGGTTGGACATTTACCACTAGAGGAGATTTTTCCAGATATTATGAAGTTGCCACCTATAAGGAATTTCCAGTAGTGGCTGGAACCTGCACTTAAGAAGAAACCTTAATGACTGGGAACTCGAGTTAATCAATGAGTTACTTGATGCTGATACATCTTAACCTTGAAGAAAATGTAGGTGATTTCTTGGTTTGGAAAGGTGGAAAAGGTGGAAGATTCACTGTGAAGGCTTGTTACAAAACTATCTGAAAGATATGGGAAGATATATTGAATGCTGGCCAGGAAAAATTATTTGGCAGACTAATGCATCACCCAGGGCAGCACGTTTCACATGGATTGCAGCGCACAATGCATCACTCGGGATAACCTACAGAAGAGGGGCTTTAATATTTGCAACAGATGTTATATGTGTAAAGAAGCATTAGAATCTGTTTATCATCTTTTATTACATTGTAAGTACAGTTGGCAGCCATCGTTTTTTTTTTTTTTTTTGGGTAAGTAAAGTATATTATTTACCAATGAGCAAATATATACAAGATCAAAATTTGAAACAGAGATTGAACAAGACCCCAATCTCAAGATTCCTCTGCCTACTCATCTACATTTTCTTGACAGAACTAGACTAAGGATAGAAAAAAATTTCCTCTAGTTTCCTTGCTAACTTAGGCACTTAGGCCTCAAGGTACATCTACAAACTACTTCCTGTGTGATCAGTCTAATAAGAACTTTAGGTGGTCCCCTGAAAAAATAATTAGAAAAAAAAGCCGTGGTCAATTTTTCTGAGTACTTTTGGAGTTCGATGGGTTATTCCTGGAAGCATTCAGCAAACCTTGAGCAGTTGGAGAGGGCAGATCATCTCAAATGGCAGCAGACACTATGGAATGCATTTCTTATAGGCATTTTGGTGCATTTGGCTTGAGAGAAATAACAGATGCTTCTCTAGTAGGAAAGAGCATATATCTTCTGTGAAGTGCAAATGTCTAAAAAGTTTTTTCTATTGGTGTATACTGTAATGAAAGTATTGTTACTGATTTTGAATCTTTATTTGAGCTTATGTACTCCTTCAATCAGTAGAAGGAGACGATCCTTTCTCTTGTACCATTACAGTACCTTTTTGGTACTTACTGATAAAACTTCTACTTTTCTCATCAAAGAAAAAAAATACTTATACAGGGTCAAAATCTTGTATCAGACATGTTTGACACCAAGAAATCACACAACGTGTGCACTTTCTTCACCAAATTTCTAAAATGTTCCAAGTATCTGGACACAACTCAACATGTCAGAATTCATGCTTCGACATGTTTGCTATTAAGTGGAACTGCTTTTAAGAGAAAGTAACTAGACTGAAGCAACTTAATTGAGACAAACAATGATTGAAACTTGCTATCAATGCAATTACAATCTCGTTCAACTGCATTTATCAATTACTAATAGTTTAACCTGCTAGCACTGCGATCAATAACCCTTCACATTACAAAACAAACAAAATCAGCATGAGGCATGAGCAATCTCAATCCTGAATGTAAGTGGATATCTGAATTGACAGTGATGTTGGAACAATGGCCGGGTATTACCATGCAGAGGATGGGGATCAGCCAAAGTCTAATGTGGTTCAAAAGAAGACACTGGAGCAGACTCAAAACAAAAAAAAACAAAAAAAAGCAGCGGCCATCTGGGGTGCCATGATCTACCACACTTGGAAAGCTAAGAACTCAAAATTATTCTAGGATGAAAAATGTGTATAGAGAGACAGTAGTGACACAAATCAATCAGGAGATAAAGGAAAGGATAAACCACACGAAATGTTATAAGAGAGCACATAGAGGCAGTTTGTTGATTCATAAGTTCTGTAATTAGCTTGCTTTGTCAGAGGCTTGGAATTGTTTAACGTCCTTCCTAGAAGGTGGTTAAAAATTTCGAGTGCTTTTTAGGTGTATCAATTTGTTGGTTTATGGTAATATATTCACAGTTATTACCAAAAAAAAAATATCAATCCTTGACAAGATTTCACAACTCTTTAGTACTATAAAGACTTGTACAACCCTTAAGCATGCAACTAAAAAGTGGCACTCTTTTCATTGGCGCTTACACTATATAAACCTCAGCAGATTAATACATCAGTACAATCAGCATAAATAATGTCTTCCTACTTGCTGCTTGCAAAATTGATTGTTCAGGTATAAAAGTTCAGGTATACATTAGTTGCAAAATAATGTCTGCAATTAATATTACTAAATTCAGGTATAAAAGTTCAGATACATTTGCTCTGACCAAAGTCCTTCAGGTGATATTGTTTATTTTTATTTCACTGAAACACTATTCCAAAATACACCTTGAGAGAATCTGGATAGAAAAATCTCTGAAATTCAAGATACAAATTTTGCCAAAGGCAAAAAGTTACAAAAATAAAATGAAGCACAAAGAAACAACCTTTTTTCATGAAGATTTGATGGCATTGACAAAGCCACTACTAAGAAGCCTCTCCACATACTTCCCCAATATATCCACCTCAAGATTAACCTTCTGCCCCACTTTCTTCATCGGAATCACCACATTTTGCTGAGTGTAAGCCACCAACATGAAGTTAAAACAGTCTTCTTCTTCAAACACATCTACTACAGTCAAACTAGTCCCATCCACAGCAATAAATCCTTTAGGCACAATGTACCTCAAAATTTCTTTCGAAGTTTTAACCTTTACCCACAGAGAATCCCCTTCAGGTTTTAGCTCAACAATCTGGCCAGTCCCATCAACATGGCCCTGCACAAAGTGACCTCCCATTCTAGTACTAGGCCTCAAAGCCCTTTCCAAATTAACCCAAGACCCTTTTTCCAATTCGATCAGAGACGTCTTTCTCAGCGTTTCTGGAGCCAATCCAACACTGAATTCCGCCAACTGTTTGTCGAAATCAGCGACGGTAAGACAAGTTCCGTTGACGGAAATACTGTCGCCGAGGTTGATGTCTTCAAGAATGAGGTTAGCTTTGATTTTCATGGTAAAACTGTCGGGTTTATCGAAACCCAGTTGGTTGATTTCCCCGATTTCTTCAACTATACCGGTAAAAAGGGAGGTGATTGGGGTAGAAGAAATACGAGATTGTTGAGCTTTTAGAGGTTTGATAAAGAGATGAGAAATTGAAGGAGATTTGAGAGATAGGGTTTGTGGGGATTTTACTCGATTGAGCTGGGGATTCCATAGATTGAAGATGGTAGGATTTTTGGGGGAAGAGATAGATGGGTTTAAGGGTTTGGAAAGAGACGCAACTGAGGATGAAACTGTTGCCATTTGCTCTTTTCGGTTCAAGTTATCTGAACTTTCGATGGGATAGTTATAGTAAGAGATTTTTAAAAAATTATTCTCAACTATGAAATGGCATGTTGCATGTTTTACCCTATAGTTTTCCGTTAGTATTAGAGCTTAACTTATTTTTATGAAATTATTTGTGTGTTTAAAATCATTTGCTCTCCATAAAAAAAATTGGCTTTGAAATGGCATGTTGCATCTTGCATGTTGCTCCTGTATTTGTCCATTGTATTAAAGCTTAACTTATGTCAAGCATGAATCATGATGTATAACAAATTGGAAAAATATTTAATTTATTCTTGTAGTTTGCTAAAAGGGGAGTATGACTGTATAAGTTTGGTTTAGTTATGTCCTTGCTATTATGATTTTGGCTCGAAAATCCCGTTCTCGCTAACTAGGGGAACGAGGATGAGCCAAACTTCAAACTGAGGTTAAAGTGAGACCTTCTCGCAAAGAATTGTTGGAAAAATATTGGATGATTACGGGGAATAAAAGATTTAGCTTGAGGCGTGTCAAGTACATTGTCCTTAAGGATATTTTGTTCACACAATAATAAATAAAATTAGATATATCCCTTAAGATTCAATATGCTCTTCCAGTTATAAAACTTGAAACAGAACTAGCATAAAATTCAAGAAAGAACCCAACATATAGAAGGAATAAGATGATTCAGAAAGTTATGTCAAAAAGTGTGTCTTTAGCTCCCCAAAGGCCATGTTTATATAGGAGTTGCTCCAACAACTAAATAACGGCGAAATAATGGCTAGTAACAGCTAGTTTGACTCTATTAATTGTAAAATAACTTACTAAATAATAAGTAGATGTAAATAATACTTCAAAGAGAAAATATTTTTCAAACCAAGATGAACATTACCTTTTGAGATATCACTAGTTTTTCAACAACCCCCACAAATCTCAAAAGGGATATAAAAAATAAATAGTAAATAAAGAAAGAACGAAAGAGAGATAATTTGCTGAGTTTCGAGTATAATAAAATTCATCTAGTGTCTTAAAGACTATGAACCAGATATAGATAAAATAAGATTTAACTTACAGAATAATTTGTGAAGTTGATAACTTCTATGAACTAAAAATTCTTGTTGTAAACTAGGGATCTTATTCATCATATTACACCCCCACAAAACAATTTCTGTTGTTATCGCAGTTTCGCACTAATAGGCAATGCACGCGCCTGGTTTCATGAGTGCTCTAGATTTTTTGCCACAAATTTCATAGGAGCGGCCCCACTCCACACCCTTATAGGTCCATCCATCAAGTGTATTCTATAGCAAAATACATCACCTACAATAGGCTGTAAATTATCGGACTAAGAGTTTAATAACTCAACCTCATATTTCTTGCAGTCTTGCACTATATATACACACACACACACCATAAGAAGAGACATATAATTTAATAGTGCATATTTGATCAACTAATGACTTGTTATTACCCATACGGTAGGATCTCCAATCACACAGGTTAGGCTATCATCATTATTGATACATCTCAAATTGGCAAAAGTCTAACCCCTCGATGTTTCACTTATAAGTCAAAGGATCGGCCAAATCCTCTTCTGACTATACATAATATGTGTAAAAAAATTCTCATTTCTAAGCAATTGCTTTATGATATTATATCTTCAGAAAATGTGTCTACTCTTCCCATTGAAAAATTTATTTTCTTACAATGGTTATTGCGCCTTGGCAATCACAATTCATCAACATAAATGTTGTTGGCTTAATTCTTAGTGGAATATTCATCAAGAGATTGCTTAATCAACCTTATTACCATACAATTCCAATATCATAACAGCCGGTCAAAAGGTGATCATACAATCACTAGTGAATTTTTCACATCTGAATCAGAGATTCAATATCATCACTGTATCCTTCTAATACATTGAAAATTCACACATAGAATACTAAGTCATAGTATTTCTCAAGTAAGATATAAAATCATCTCAAATGAAATGGAACTTGACTTCCATACAAGTGCCTTTTGAAACATCTTTCAACACATATAAGAATTTCTTTTCTTTTGATATCTTCCATATTCAAATACCAAAATAAAATTTTCTGAACATAGAAGCATTTTAGCTTCTGCTAAAATATCTCAAATTAATATAAAATATGCCATAATAAAATAATTTCTTCACACAATTTACTAAGAGACCCAAAGCAAGATAATTTTTCAGAGCCAAAACTACAATATATTTTTGATCTTCCAATATAAATTTTCACCACAAAAAAAATTAATTTTATAAAGCTTTATTATAACATTAATAAATAATTTTTCCTAAGTTTTTCCTTCTTAAAATCAAGCAATATAACTTAAACACTGTATTCCCCACATTTTCAAAAATTTCAGGTTAAGGAGATAATCTTTTCACAACTCATTAAGAATTCTACTTTATAAATAACAAGCTAACAATATAGCTTCACCTCGAAGATTATCATATCAATAAGCATGCAATTTATTCATTAATTAAAAATAAATAGTTAAATCCGGTACATCATCACAAGAAAAATCAAACCATTAAATCTTATGTGCTTTTCCGATTCTCCTTCACCTAAATCTTCAATTACAGTAATATAATTAATCTGTCCAAGAGATAGAAAATTTATCTAGGAATTTTTTTTATCGAAGCACATATGTCTTGATAAAGGTTTGGATAAATATTTTTCATGTAATTTCAAAGAGAATGATAACACTTCAACTGAAAATATGTCAAACACGACAGTCACATTTTTTTTAATTCAAATTATCTTTTTGTCATTTAGTCCAAATAAATTTAAACACATTATCTCAGGGTTCTCAAGATTTTCAAAATGCATAACCGAAGATCGTACTTTTACTTTCTGTCACGATCCGGATTTTTCACCCTCGGAAGTCATGATGGCGCCTACTAATACGATCTAAGCAAGTTAATTATTTGCACAATTTACCTTTCTACCCATTTTATATTCATTAACAATTTCGAAGTAATAACATTTAAACAACGGAATTTAACATAAGCGGAAGGAAAAGCAATAAGCTATTAGAACATGAATCCAATACAACTGTTTGAGTCTCGACTACCTAGAACTGGTGTCACAGTTTCACAGACGGTCTAAGAATACTACAAATAAAGGTCTGAAAGAAATCAATACAACACTGTCTCTAGAAATGCATGAAAGAAACAGGAATAGTAGATAGAAGGAGACGCCAAGGCCTGCGGGCGTCTGCAGGGCTTCCTCGGGTCGCCCGATGAATAAAAATCAACAATCCCACTGCAGTCCGAAGTCTAAAACACTGGTGTCTGCACAAAAGAATGCAGAATATAGTATCAGCACAACCGATCTCATGTGCTGGTAAGTGCCTAGCCTAACCTCGGCGAAGTAGTGACGAGGCTAGGACCAGACTACCAAATAAATATGTGTAGTTATATGATATAAAGTGGAAACTAATGCAGAAATAAACAAGTAAAGATGGGAGGGGAAAACATGCTTCGGGGAATAACAAGTAAGAACAGATTATCAAAAGAACTATAAAGGAATCAAAATCCAACCAATAACAAGAGTAAGGAAAACAAAGGCAAATTTCACTTTCTTTTCACATCTTGTGGTAGGCGTACCACCCGCTCCCATTTTGTTATATCTTGTGGTAGGCATACCACCCGCTCCCATTTTGTTATATCTTGTAGTAAGCGTACCATCCACTCCCATTTCATTATATCTCGTGGTAGGCGTACCACCCGCTCCCATTTATAACATTGTTGCGGTGTGCAACCCGATCCACATATAATATTGTTGCAGCGTATAACCCGATCCACATATAATATTATTGCGGCGTACAACCCGATCCATATATAATATTATTGCGGCGTGAAACCCGATCCACATATAATATTGTTGCGGCGTGCAACCCGATCCATATATAATATTGTTGCGGCGTGCAACCCGATCCACATATAATATTATTGTGGCGTGCAACCCGATCCATATATAATATTGTTGCGGCGTGGAACCCGATCCATATATAATATTATTGTGGATTGCAACCCGATCCATATATAATATTGTTGCGGCGTGGAACCCGATCCATATATAATATTATTGTGGATTGCAACCCGATCCATATATAATATTTATAATTATAACGAGAGTCCCGAAAAGGGATCAATAAGGTCCACACTATTCCGACAAGGGATTCGGCAACATAAGTAAATACGTCCCGGCAAGGGAGAAATAGCTATAACCAAACTTGATACCACACCTAACTACCTCAGCTATAACCAAACTCATTACAACATCTAACCACCTCAGCTATAACCAAACTCGTCACCACACCTAACTACCTCAGCTATAACCAATCTCATTCCGACACTTAACTACCTTAGCTATACCTATAATCCCTACCCAACACAAAGAATCCTCAACCTAAGCATCCGTAATATCAATTAAGAACATCATGCAAGGGAACCACAATTTAGCAATAGCCCGGCAAGGGGCAACATAATGATCTCTTCTTTTTCTCACTCTTACTGCACAATTCACTTCACAACTCGAGCCAATGCTCTAGAGTTTCAATTATCACTTATACTTTCACAACTCGAGTCAATGCTCTAAAAGTTCAATTGTCACTTATACTTTCACAATTTCGCTATACAACTTGAGCCAATGCTCCACAATGTTCATAGGTCACAATTTCTTTCTATAAACTTTATACAACAATTAGAAATCTTCACCAAGGCATGAATAATACAATGAAATCATGAAAATCACAATATAAGACTCACGGTCATGCTTGACACCAACATATAGATACTCGTCACCATGCCTATACGTCGTACTCAACAAGAAGCAAATAGCAAATAGGACACAACTCCTAATCCCTCAAGCTAAGGTTAGACCAAACGCTTACCTCGATGTCACGAACACAATTCACGATTCAATTATAGATTTACCCCTCGATTCCACCACCAATTCACTTGTATCTAGTTACAAGTTACTTAATTACATCAATAAACGCTAAATGAATCAATTTGAATGCATGAAAATGAATTTCCCA